TATATATACTGACAGACAGACAGAGAGACGGACAGACAGGCAGACAGAAAGACAGACACACGCACACACACACAGAGATATACTGACAGACAGAGAGACGGACAGACAGACAGAGAGACGAACAGACAGACTCTAACAGACAGACAGAGAGAGAGGCTAACAGGCAGAGAGACAGAGGCAGACAGACAGAGAGACACACACAGACATACAGACAAATACACACACAGATATACAGACAGACAGACAGAGACATCACAAGAAAGGGGTAACCTCAACATACCACCGAGTTGGTCAGCGCCAGTGGACCAGACCGTGGTCAAAGGGGAACAACACAAGGATTATTTCACAGCCAGGGGACACCAGGACAGTCTTACAGCTTTTCTCAACTTCCAATATATACCATAAGAAAAGAACAATTCTGTATTACCGGTTCGTTTTGGTCTTTCGATACTGCTAAAAGACGCGCAGTCTTGAGCCACTTTAATCAACATAGCTTCCATATTCTTTTTCTTTAAAAAAATTTTTAGTAAGAGTTTTACGGCACTCCAAACACAATAGTGCCAAAGATTAGAGGTGTTACAAGGGAGTAACAAACACAAAAAAGAAAGAGGGGAGATACAGACGTTAGATATTCGATAGGAAAGAAGAAGCAAACCACACCAGAGCACCCATCAACCACCCACAGAATACTTCTGTATTACCGGTTCCTTTTGGTCTTCCAATAACTCAAGAAGACGCGCAGTCTCGAGCCACTTTAATTTGTCGCTTTTAAGCACAAGGGGACTATCCCGAAAAATGCTGTTTTGAGAAAATCGAAGGAAAAGTTTTTGCCTCTTGTTCAGTTTCTTTAAATAAAAATAAAGGGAGAGTTTTCTGGATAACCAAACCACTCCTTTAGGTAGGGCAATGCCCACTTTTGGAGTCGGTCAAGATTTCTGGAAACCCCCGAAATCCAGGTTAGCCCGCCTGTCCTGAAAAGCGACCATTCAACATAACTTCCTTATTCATATGATACAGATTTTTCAATTCGGTTTTCTTTCTCTGAATTTTCAGAAGACAGGCAGGCGACGACAAACACACTATGACACAGTTTGCAGATTTGTGTTTGTGACTTGTGGACAATGGTTCGAAATGAGCCGTTACACTGCTTTCAGTTTTTAGTTTAGTTTTGGTAGAGGTTTTACGGCGCTCGCAACTGCATAAGGTCATATGAGTGTCAGAAGATTAGGGGTGTTACAAGAGAGTAACAAACATAAAAAAGAAGAACATAAAAACGAAGAACATAAAAAAGAAGAAGGGGAGAAAAGGGCGATAGGCTAAATAATTGACTAGAGTTTTAAGTTCCACAAAAGCCATGTACATTGATGCGATGCGGTTACAAAGTGCGAGGAAAAAGTACAAGAAGACGAAAATAACAAGAGGCAGAGAAATTAAAGGAGCGTGTGAGTGAGAGACAGAGAGAAGAAAGAGAGGAGAGAGAGAGAGAGAGAGAGAGAGAGAGAGAG